GAGCCCCGAGGTGTGTGCCTGTCGGCCCGGGTGCGCCTCCAGCCCGGACCCGGGGACCCCGGGAAGGGGCTGGGCAGCGCCTAGACGGAGGCGAAGCCTTGGCCCCCCCGGCCCCCCAGGAGCCCAGCCCCAGGGCCCCTCCTCCACCGCCGGGGCTCAATAGCCAGCGGTCCTTCTCTGCGCCCTAAGTCCGGTACCAAGACCCTGAGACCCGCTGGCCTCCTGTCTTCCCGGCCACTCCTTAGGGCAGACCTCACGAGCCTCACTTTTTAAAAAACCTGGAGGCCCAGAGAGGTTCAGGGACCTGCTCAGGGTCACCCAGCAGGAAAGAGGTGGGGCCCCGAGGGAACCCAGCTCTGTGGGACTCGTCCTCCCCCTTTCTGGGGGTGGGAGAGAGGGAGGGGGAACCCCTACCCAAGGCTGCGAGGACCCCTGCAGGGGGGTGAGGGGGTGCAGTCCCACCCCCGCCTCCAGCTAAGTGTCTGAACCAAGCGTAGGCTGCTTTATCCGAGTCTCAAAGAACAAAGCGAAGAGGGGGTCCCAGGGTGTGGGGAGGGGGTCAGCAGTAAGACGGGGGAGCTGGGCGGGAGCACTACCTGGAGGCCCTGCCCTGGGCTGCAGCTCGAACCCCGGCTGGGTGGGTGGCTGCCTGGCTGGCGGGATCTCAGCCTCCTTCCTTCCTCTTGACAGGAAATGACTTTCCTTCCCTTTGTTCCCACTTTCTCCGCTTACCCAACTGGCTCTCAGATGCTCCCTCTGGGGGAGGAAGGGGGGAGGGTCCCCTGGGCGGGGCGGGCTGGGACCTGCCCACAGGGAGCTTTCTCCCACGTCCGGGGCTCCAGGGTGCCCTGGGGGCAGTGGGACCGGAGGGAAGGGAGTCTCCTTTTCCCCGCTGTGGCCTCGCTCACCCGACTGCCCAGGCTTCGGAAGTCCCCGGCTGGGCCCCTTCCCCTGGGGCCTGAAGTCCCTGCAGAAACCCCAGGGAGTGTGTGTGTGTGTGTGTGGGGGGGGGTGCCCAGCTGTGAACATCTGGCCTCCGCATTGGGGCGTTTGCCTTGGATGTTTTCCGAGAAACCAGCAGATCCAGCTTCCTGGGGTTGAGCGGGGGTCAGAGCAGGGTGGGAAGGAGGCAGACGGGCATCCACAGCCATCTCTGGGGACAGCCCAGGAGGCACTGACCGCAAGGTCATTGGTCCGGATTGGGCCATTCTGGGGTGAGAACAGGCCTGAGATTTTGGGGGCCCCCGTGCCGTCCAGAGAAGAAGTGGTTCTTGGGTCCAAGGACACCCTGTGAACCCACGGCAGATGGTACTCGGTTAGAACTCCGAGCCTGCCCTGGATGGCCTGGGAAAGTCGCTTAACCTTTGGGGCCTCCCTGGCCCAGCTGGGGGGGGCAGGACGGGCTGTGTGAGAGCCGGTGAGTTGAGGCACGGATCGCACTGGGCACCGTGGCTGGCACGCGGCGAGCGCTTTATCAGCCAGTGCCCTTGTTGTCGCTTCTTGTATTTAAATCTCAGATGCTCTCGAAAATTGTTTATAAAAATAGTGAAACTTGTAGCAAAGTACAAAACCAGAGACTGTGACAGCCAATATAAGCAGATACACTTCCAGACACCAGGGACAAAGCAAGAAACAAAGGGCTTTAAAGAACTTTGAAGCTTTCTTCAGATAGTGGTTTCTTTTTTGGAACAGATATTTTATTATCAGGCTGAGCGACACGTTTTAACCAAAATATAAACCAATTTAAGAGGCATTTACAAGCCTATGGTGTTGTTTCTGTTATTATTAGTCTCTCAGTCACCAAGATTGCCCACAGTGGCCGGATGGACTTTATATGGAGGGAAGCCTTTGGGTGGCCACTTGGTCTCCAAGTCCACCCTTACAGTCCCTCAAGGGGCTCGCCCCCCACCTGCCCAGCCCCACTTCTCGAGGTTCACTCTCTGGGTCCCTATTTTGTCTCCTCCCCACGAACCTGTGGGCTGGGCTTTGGGGCCGTGTCAGGGTGACCCAGCCGGAGAGAGATAGAAAAGGGGCACGTTTCCCTTGCTGCGTGCCAAGTGCTGGGAGCTGGGCTCGGGTGACACAGGAGTCACAGACACAGCCTGTGGCATGCACGGTCATTTATGGGGGGGGCAGACGGTGACAGCGAGCCAGCATGCCTGTGAAGGGCTCTCGTCGCCCTGTGGAAGCAGACAGCTGCCCCAGGGGGGAGGTAACCTTTGAGCTGGGCCTGTGAGGAAACCTGCAGTTCACCCTGTGGTGGGGCCGGAGAGGAAAGCAGGAGGTGGGAGAGACTCCCAGGCGGAAAAGGGAGAAAGAGTCCAGGAAGGGTGAGAGGCCCGGGGGGTCGAAAAGAGGTTGAGGCCAGGGGAACTGGGGACTTGGTCTTCAGGGTAGTAGGGAGCCATGGGAGTCTCATGAGTAGAGGAGAAGCAGTCAGCCTTACACTGTAGAAAGATCGCTCCAGGGACAGGGTCGGAGGCAGGGTTGGAGCCCGTTGGGGCGCCCGCAGGAACCAGGGCTGCAGTTTCGGAAATGGGACCGGGTGAGCGATTCCAGCAATAGCATCAAGATTTGATTGGATACGGAGCCCGTGGTGGAGAAGAAAGTGCTGGCCTGGGGCTGGGCCGGAGGGGGCAGCAGAAACAAGTAGCCAAGAGCGTGGGCTCTGGGTTCGAACCCCAGCTCTGCTGCTGCAGGACCCTTTGTCTGAGTTTCCTCTGCTGCACCATGGGGAG